GACATGGATGGTCCCTGGGTTATTATAATTATATCCAATAACCCCGTCCTCCACCCAAAATGGCCGCCGTTATTAACAATAGGAATTTCTTTACATAAAATCTTTAAATCTTCTCCTCTTAAACCACTGGGCCAGTTGAAACCAAACTTGGCATAAGGCATCCGTGTGGGGTCCCCTTTCAAAATTATATCCGACAGCCCCGCCCTCCATCCAAAATGGCCACCAATAACAAAAAATAGAAATTTCTTTAAATGGCTAATCAAACTGCATTATTTTTCAGCAGAATGGATTCAAATACAAAAAATGTATCAACTAAATATTTGTTTAACAGTTATTTTTTTTGAAAAAACATAATGTTTTCATCAAGTTGTGTCATTCTGGTCACTGACAATCCAGGTGAGCGATTACATGCTCCAGGGAGACTAGGGTTTAAATTGAAAAGTCTATAAAACTACTCGAAAACGAACTATTAGGTTCATTCAACTTATGCCTGAAAAACAGGTACAAAAAGGCAGGATAAATGTTGACATGGGTTGTGTATAAGTAAGTCTGATCTTGTGTAAAAATTTAATTAGCAGTGTGCCATCAAACTGGAATAAGTCCACATTTTTTGGGCATGAAATATACGATGATGATGTTCCGTATGAATGTTAAATATAATATGTTGGCATTCTATGGAAAGCTCATCAAGAACAAATTAGCTTTCGTATTTTAATGCAAACTGAAAATCTTTATACACACCACTCCTTAAATTTCCTTAATTTAGCAGCATTTTGTCCCTTCAAAAAATATATACTTAGTAAAATCTCTCAACTTACAAAAATAGTAGTCAGAATTGTAATAAAAATCCTAACCCAATCCTAACGTTCAACATTTGTTGTCTTTAAAATTCATTTTTCTAAGCCTTTCTTAAAAAAAAAATATTGCTCGCATACGAGTTTTGTTTTTTAGATGACGCCTACAAGAATTAATTTTAAAAAGGCGTGTTCACCAGTCCCCCCTTCATCGCAGAAAACATCTACAAGTTTCAGTCCTCCACCATGTATTGCATTGACAGGAGTATCTCCTGCAACAAAGAGGACACATATAAAAGTCGTTACTAGACCTGATTCATCAACAACAATTGCTTCGTCCAATGCAGAGGAGTACCACACCCATTCAACAAAGCAATCATTTGTAGAATATTCTGTAAGTACTTTAGTTCTACGATAGGTGTCGCCGCTACTATACTTTAAACATCTTTGAACTTTGAATCCCTAGGATAAAGTTTTACAACAAATAACTAAATTGAAGAGAACGTTTGTTGCCCCCCCCCCCCCCCCTTTCCGAGGAAAATTATTATGCCTAAGAACAACGGATGTTAGATTTACCATTCTAGTACTTATGTATCTCCCTTCATATTGTTTTTCGTCATGTCGGTTAATTACAAAACCTAATACACGCAACTCCTCCATTTTTAATGGGATTTCCTTAGAATTTTGCAATGCCCGTTTTTTTTTAACATATGGCTATTCGCATATCGTTTATCCTATGTTAAATTAAAAACACATGGTCTCAAGAAATAAAAAAATCTGGGTCTTCAAGTGGAAAACTTGAATCTCCATGTCGTAATGATCCTTATCGTAAATATTATTGCAATTGCATTAAGACGGTGTTTTTTCCCATGTAGTCCTATGTTAAAATTTAAACACCCTTGGGGTGCAAGTAATAAAGATCACAAAAACTTGAATCTCCATGTCTTGAGGATGCTTTATGTCAAGTTTTATTGTATTTGCATTTAGCCCCTTAAACAAAATATACTAGTTCAATTTCTTAACTTACAAAAATAGTGGCCAGAATTGTAATTAAAAAAAAATCCCCCAAAAATCTTAATCTTCAATATTTGAATAGATTTTATCAAGATTTTCTTAAAAAACTAATCATTGCATCAATAAAAATGTCCATCAACACGTTTTGTTCTGTAGATAGCACCAACAAGAGTAATTTCTGCACAAAAGACGTATACACCAGCCATCTTTTTATCGCAGAAAACATCTACAAGTTTCAGTCCTCCACCATGTAGTGCATTTACCCGAGCATCTCCTTCACGAAATAAAACACCTGTAAAAGTCGTCAAAAGACTGGATTCATCAGTAGAAATTGCTTCATCCAATGCAGAGGAGCATAGTAACCAATCAACACAGTATTCATCAGTAGAATTTTCTGTAAGTACTTTAGTTCTATTTTAGCTGTTCTTGCTACAAATATCTTTGAACCCCTAAGAGCAAGTTTAAAAAAAAAAAAAATAAACTGGAAAAAAATATGTTAAAATTGTCTTATCCTGGGATGTGTTCTCTGAGGTGATGCATTATTTTTTTTTTTCTTCAAAATTTACCTTGGGCATATAGCGAAAAGGGGAGATATTGAAGCATTAGAAATCATTTTTTTTTTGCCAGACAGCCATTTTATTCTTCGAAAAATCCAACTCCCCCCCCCCCACCCACCGTTATGTTTGTGCCTAAGTACACCGGATGTAAGATTTACCACTTTAGTACTGGATCAGACCAATTACGTAAGACGTAAAACATAAACATGACGATGTTTTTCTTTATTCAAATGAAACTAAGGAACTTAAATATGAAAATATATTTCAAATTGTGCTCTATGAAATTTCACAAACGTTTCTGTGTACCTTAATTATGTCATCAGACAATTGTGGCATTTCACACAGACTCACTACTGTACAGCTGTTACGTCTGTACGCCTTTGTGTGTTAATGGTTTTAATGGTTAAAGGGTTAAATTTACACATTTATATTCTAATGTATAAAATAATAATGTAATCAGCATTGAGAGGAAGGAAACAAACTTAATATAAAATTCGCTTTTACTTCTAAATTTAACTTATCGGAGTTCTTATTTACTAGTAACCCTGAATTAATTTTTGATCTCTGTTTCCTTAATAACCCATGAAAAGCTATTTAAAAATAAAGAGTGTCAAATGAAATCCCTCCTAGAACTTTCAATAACAAATGTTATCTTTAAATCAAGAGGTTTTATGGAATATCACTGCCGGCGTTTTGACCTGCGAGTCGTAATATCATCACCTCTATCAGTCTGCAGTAATTTGTCACATATCTAACACAACAATACTACGATCCTTGTAATTTTTACAGTCTGTTCAGTAATATAAATAACTTGGTATTATTATGAGAGCGTCAGGTACTTTGCAGTAGATACTCTTGGGAAAAAAGGCATTAAAAGTTATATTTATGATAACATGCAAATTCAAGGAGGAATACGGAAATCCTAAATTACTTTTAAAATTGTTTGACTCGTGTGTCAATCGTTTTCTTTGTTATATAGTGAGTTATAAGCATTATATATATAGAATATTGAAAAGGTTTAAATAATTTCAGCTTGAAAAACTATATGATAGGTTTTCTCCAGAAGGAACCCTGTAAGATATTGCAAGTTTGTGTTGGGTTTAAATAAATATACCTCAAACATGGCTACCTTAGCAGAGTTGGGACGTTATACAATCCCCATGCAATTTCTGAAGTAAATAAGTATAATGATGTTTTTTCTTTCATTCTATTTCTGGGGACAAAAGGAAAGGGAAACAAATAACTGATGTATAACGCTTTGAAAAATCTTAATATCAAAATATGTAGTAACTGTTTTAAACAATTTTCGAACTTAAGAATATCAAACCACACACTTGAGATCAAGGTTGGAAGGTATAAAAATATACCTGCATATTAGAGAAATTTTGAGAATCGCAACTAAATAAGATTGAGAATGAGATGCTCTTTTTGTGTAAATGCAAACTATATGAGAATCTGAGAAATGCCTTTTACAACAAAGTTAGTTTACTTTTACCTAAATTCCTCAGGCTATATAACACCGATAGACTCGATAGATTTGAATTGTTGATAAACTGCCAGGAAAACGATGTTCTGTTACTGATAGTATATTTCGTAGTGGTATGTAATGAGTTAAGAAACGCATCAAGAGAAATATTAAATAATTGATTTGTTTCTTTTTTTCAGTCATGATTCTACTTGTACAAAATTTTAAACTGAATAAATTTATCTTATCTGATCTGATCTTATGTAAAAGGCATTTTGCATACATATATGTTTTTCAGATATATCCATGAGGGTATAGGAATTAATGTTCTTTTAATATCTATATTTCTAATACATAGACCTTTCATCTAACTTTATGTAAAGATGCTGTTTGTTGTCTAAAGCTGATAGAAGGCATAAATGATTTAGAAATAATTTTGAACGGATAAGAAACCAAAGGTTATTTAATCATTCAATTTTCATCTTTAAACCATTTTGTTATCAGAAAAATCACGCTTTTATTGATGAATTAAATAAGTATTATAAAGTAAATGCCACGATATCTTATTGGGTTACATAGTTCATAATTAACTTCAACTGGTCAAGTGAGAGACGGCTTATGTATCCTGTATCCTTTAATGTCTTGTAAACAATGAAAAAGCAGGTCAGATGTGAATTTTGGGTTGTTGCAATTAAGACTCTAGACACGTCACTGTTGCCTCTTTTAGTATTTTAAGGCATGTTTTCGAAATTTCATATTAGTGCACTTTTTTAAGATAGGTTTGATATATTCTTTGGATTTCTTGTATGATTTATTTGTATTACCTTTCAACAATATTTCAAAATTGAAAACACAAGACTTTTACATTTTTTTCAAATAATCAAATACTAGTTACATAAATTTGTAAAATGATAATTGTTTTGGTAGCTTTTGCAATAATATTTTGTTCAGAATTTATAAATATTCACTGTGTTAGAATTTTTGAAAAATATCCTAACATTGATAGTTTACTAATGTAATCAAAGTATGAATCACAGTCAGTGTCTATATTTAACAAGAATGTGTGAACGAGATACTTATCCCTAAATGAGTGCAGAAAAGTTAAGGAAAAGATATCAATCTAATTTTTCACAATTACCGTAAAAATGCAATATTCGACTCTGTTTTCAGAATTTTACAACATCAACACCAAAGAAAGATGTAAGTAAAAATAAATTAATTGTTTGCACGATTAAATGTACAATCGAAACAAAATAGGCATAGCTACGGACTTCTTCCCAAGTCAAGGTTTTCAGAGTCTACGTTGTTCCCCAAAAGCCCTTGACGGATTCGATACATATTTTGCGGGTCTACATTCAAGTCTGCATAATCCAATCAAAATAGTTGTTATTTCGACTTAATTAGGTCATGTCAAATCTTTCGAATACTGCCTTTCTTGTATTTTTCTATAATAGTTAAATACATTTTATGTCTTGAAAACTCACGTATTTCCGATAAATCGTAACTATCTTCACAAAATAATAATTTCAATTTCAGCGCTCGAATTTATCGGTAATTTTGAATGGTTGTAGCTAAGATAAACTATTCGAAGTCGGAAGCGTAAGGAAATGTAAAACCCGCAAAATATGTATCTAATCCGTCAAGGATTTGTGGGGAACAACGTGGACTCAGAGTTGGAGTTGTGTGGATCTAAAAGGCATACCTTTTCAAATATATCAAACTTGTAAATATTTTTGTATTCCTCTTTTGGCTAATAAGCAATCCTCATTAGTTTGAAAATACTGTTGTCAGTATTGTCAAATGTTTGGGGATAGACTTGTAAGACAGGAAAAAAAATAAAAGCTGTTTCGGTATTGGTGTCGAACACTTAAAACCAAAAACATTTCTCTGTATGATTTTTTTTCCACTTGATGCCACCTTTAGACAAAGAATGCAATTATATCAGTGAAATGTAAATACAACTTAAATTTAGTCTTAAATCAGAGACAAAATTAGAGAGGAGTGGCTACAACACAAACCGTTTGTAGTGAATAAGCGAACGAGGTTTTAAGAAATACATGTCGGAACTAGTTTCTGCTATCAATATCGAAAAATTAGTTGGCCGTTTTAAAAAATCGACCTCTTTCTATACTGGGGCCAAATATTAATTATATTACTGATAAAGATAAAAACAAGTTTGTTACGTATCGTGGTATATAGACAAATAACAAGTTAACACATGAACCAGACAAGTACCCACAACCCGAAAGACAGACAAATACAAGGAACAGACAAAACTAAAAAAGAAAAAGAAAACACGAACTCCTATAAAAACTAGGAGTGAAACCAGATGCTCCGAAAGTGAAGCGAATCCTGCAGCACCAACGACATCCGTCGTGTTTCTCTTGGTCACACCCAGTGACAGTGTGAACATTATAAATTGCAAAGATATAAGATAGATGGATAGACAGATACAGACGTTGTAACATTATAGCTATATTTTCTAATAAGGTGTACAGTTATAGTTTTTTGAAAGTTGATTAAACACGTGAACAGAGCTGTTCATCTAAAATCAATCGAAATATAATGAATGTCTAAATGAAATAAGGTCAATGAAATTCTTACATGCAGTTTTTCATTTCATTTGATAAAAAGTATTGGTCACTGAAAAAACTTGACCAAATTACTGCATAGAATTCTTCTTGCCTTTGTTAATTTGTTTTCCTTCATTTTTTACAATGAAAAAAAAAAACATTTTTCATTGTTAAACAACTCAAACCCTTTTAGCTATACTTCTGCATTGATACATTAACCCGACTCTTCAAATTACTGAATTATCCTTTTTTCATTATTCAGGACACTAATGCCCCAAGTGTGTACAATTTCATAACGCGTCCCTGGGATCCAAGTCCAAAAAGCATTATAAAGAAACATAGAAGAGCCGTAGAATCAGCAACAACGTCTCCAGGCAGAGAATACACCATGTTGGACGAACAGCTTCAAAACGACTCCGGGATTGAAAAACAGGTATATATCAAAAACTTAAATCTAAGGTACCGAAGTTTCAAGGAATATTTAAAAAAGGGACAATACATTTATATTCAAAGTTGCAAATACAAGTATGGAAATCACAGACAACACGTAGTGAGACCAGATCTTCTGAAAGGGTTGGCATTTCCTGTCCTCGTATTGTCAAAATATTAGAGTCTTTCCGAAGAAAAACACAAATCAAACTGTCAACATCGAAATTTCATATGCATCCACCAGTTCTTTATGATGATGATCATATCATTTATGGAGTGATGAAGCATTAAAGGACATTTTTTTCCAATGGATGAAAGGCCTATTCTTCAAGGCTATGAAGTTTTCAACAAATCAAAACATACACCTGTATGTATTTCAGTAACTAAATAAAGTAATTGATTTATTTTTTTCTTAGTATTCAGATTGTGAGTACCGTTATCCCTATGCTCCGCTCCTGTCCGTTATACAATTACTGCAACACGTTCTTGTATTTGAACAACATATATACAAATGAGTAACAGTTAATACTAATATTGTTCTTCGTTTTATTTCATTTTAGAATAATGACCCACAAAACCTACAAATGTCATTTAATGATCATAATTCAGAGGACAACACAATTACAACAGGTATATAGAACTATCTCCCTTTAAATAGAGAATGTGTATTCTTGCAACTTTTTCCAGAACTAATTTATTAACATATGCTATTATAATGCTATATTTGCTTGCCAAATGTTACACATATAAATTGTGCTTTATCTGAAAAACGGTCACATGCATGTCAATGTCTTCGCACAAAACTCATCTTCACCTTTGGTACCTGTAGAACTGAAGTCGCACAGAGAGTAATTCAACCTGGCTGCAGCCAATCGTATTGAGTTTTACAAAATAATCTTGTAATTGACAAAATTTTGAAAAACTATCACCAGTTGCATTAACTGCAATACTTGAGCTATTCCTTTTCTTCCTTTTTAATTCTTTTATGTCAATTAATCCGCGTGACTTATTTACTTTTCAAGCGTTATACAAAGGAGATGTTATAATTGGTATAATCTTACTCATTTTTGGAACCATATCTTCATCTTCAACGGCTCTACGGACACAACTCGCACCATCTACTAGACAATGTTGCGACGGACTTACAATTATATACGGCTTTATTCGCCAAGGGTGAAAATGATTTATAAAGAATAATTGGTATTGGATACAAGTTCAAAGTCATATCTAAGCGTTCTTAACATCAAAGTTAGACATCCAATTCCATTGCTTTTTAATTTCAGACAGTATATTATACTTGCAATAGAAATATTCCTTCTTACATTTTAAAGTCGGCGTGTTATACGCATTGGGAAAATTACTGAAAATTACTACAGCACTATATTAATTCACTAAAACTGGTTAATTAAACTTAATCTGTCACTTTTTAAGAAAATTCCAGTACAAAGCCAGGAAAGTAGGAGGTTATGTTTTTATGTTACGTAGAGTTTGCCTTCCGTTTTTCTTACAACCAATTGGTCTTTGAAACTATTCTGACGGTGTTTTCATTTTCATATTTTTAGAAATTTTATAACATATATCATGTAGTTGATGGACCAGTTTGTGCTCAGACAAAATGATTTTGAAAACATGCTATCCAACTTTCAAAATAAGTTTTTCTTTAAACTTAACATAAGCTTGAAAAAAAAAACTATTTTCAACTTGACCTTCTATGATTTTTAGATTATTCGGAGAAAATAACAGACGTCTTGCGTAGTAAGCAGTGGAGGCTACTTAACAATAAAGGTCCTGCTGCCCTTACGAGAAGTTTGGTGAAGGCAATCTTTACAAATGACGAGCTGCTGAATTCATCATTTGGCGGCAAAAAAGGCAACATGTTTGATCCCGAAAGGATCTCCCGTATAAGAGGTATAGTTCTAGATTACAATGATTTGTATGTGTATTGCTAAGGTCTCAAGCTGTTTTTTGTTAAATATCTTAAGGTCAGAAGTCACATTTCAAGTTTCCGAAATGCTGAAGGAGAAATACGGCAATTTCATGTGTGGTTAGGTATGTTAATTTTCTGTGTGTCAGTCTAACCACAATAAAGAAATCCTTGAGCAAGAACTGCTTACCATTGCGGAGCAGCTGAGATAACCCCTGGTTTTAAGTGGGTCCGTGTTGCTCATCTTTACTTTTCTGTGTTTGTTCTCGTTGATTGTTGTTTGTCTTTGTCTCTTTTTTTGTTTTGGCCACGTGTTTGTCTGTCGATATTGATTCACGATCTTTTTATTACGTCTTGGTATCTTCTACCCCGTTTTTTTCATGAACATTGGCGTTTTATTTATTGAAAATGCTTACATGTACTGAATTCAGTAAAGCGCTTTCCTTTTGAGTGCGAAAAGAGATAAAACCTTGCGTTTGACTTACGTTTATATTTGAATTCCTTTTTGTTTTTAAATCAAAGCTATACTATAGAAAAATGCCATGGCTCATTCAGTGATTCACTTCCTAAATCTTAAAACACATATTGGTCAATCTGAGAACACCAGGAAAACTTTTCAATACTTTCTTTGCAGACACAGTTAACCAGGAGTTTAGTATTCCAGCTTGCATATGTTCAACAGTGTGGAATGAATGCAGGACCAGTGTTACACAAATGTTGAAGCATTTCAGAAAAGGTAATTATTCATTCCGAGGACATTTTTTTGAAATACAAAATACACAATATACTTTTTCCCTTTTTTTATTCTACAAGTGCAATTGTTTTAAAATACGTCTGTTTCTGAACACCTTAACAATTTTGACAATAATATTTAGATATGAAATTTCAACAAAAAAATAATGTTCCGTATTAATTTATACTACATTGATGTTAGGCATTTTCTCTTTGACCTGTTTAAAATATATACCCCCAGTCCAATCAAGATTTGGTACATTGATTCCAGTTGTGCAACATAAAATAGTCTTCTCATTTCCACATAATTAAAATGAATGAAAGCAAAACTATTTAATGCAAACAACCGACTGTACTTAATTGAAACGAAAGCATTTCAAAATTATTGAACAATTGCAAATACGGGTATCATGCAAGATATTTATACTTTCTCTTTCTATTGTTACAAAATTTTGTTTTTGTCCTTATAGGGAAAGACGGACATAAAGAACAGGAATAAAACAACTGTCAGAAAACAATTCTACACACTCTTAAGCAGCCTAATGAAGAAGTGATAATTGATATTTTAAAAGAAAACTTATACTGTAGCTAGCAAAAAGTACTTATTTTTTTGTCAATCTTGATAACGTTCAGCCGTTATCAAGGATGAGAAAGTTGAATAACTTGAACAATTTCAACATCATATTAGTTCTATGAGACAAAGTAGTTTCTGTTTTTTTCATAACCTTAGCGTCCAGCCGTTATGTGCAAAAATAGAAGTTCACATTGTGTTAATTTTTTTTTATAACGTTAGCGTTCAGACGTGTTTTTTTTTAAAACAAAATCAAGAAGTATACATGTATGTATTCTCTGTTTCTTTAAAACGTTAACATTCAGCCGTTCTGTAGAAAAAAGTAAAAATGTCATAATTGGATAAAATCATACATCTTGTATAAATATTAACAGATGAAAGTTAAAAACACTGTTTTCATTCTTTATAACGTTAGCGTTTAGCCGTTACCTAGGATGAAAAAATGAACATGAACAATTTCTACGTCATATTAGTTCTAAAAGACAAAGTAATATTTTTTTTTTCTCATGACGTTAGCGTTAGTTAAGCCATTATGTAGAAAAAAAATGAATATCTTTTTGGAAAGAAATTTCAAATTGAGGTGCAGGTAACATATTTATTAGGTAATGTAGACAACGCTTGCTTGCAATGGGTATATAGAAAATCACTTTTTGTGAGATTGGACAGAAGTTAGAGGGGAAACGCGAGTTTCCATACACGGTAAAGGGAAATTATACATAAAGCGTAGAGTTCAACTGAGGTCATTGTCGACGTAGGGGAGTAGAATTACGACACATGACATCTGAGCAGGTTTAGTTTTTGTTCCTGCATTCAGACGTTCGACAACAGTTGTAATCATAAAAATCTTTCTTCGCTATAATCGACATCGGGTGTCGGTTCAAAGGCATAATTTTTTTTATAGGCTTTTGGAGTTATTTTTGCCGTATTTATAGTTAAAGAAAAGTGTGCGAATACATATTCATGCTCCGATTTTCCATCTAAGTTGACCTGTAGTTTACCTGTTTAAAGAACCAATCAATAAATTTGAGAATTGTAAACTAAGATTTACATAACTATCCAAAATTTATGCCACAAAATCCAAAAGGTTTGATTAAAATCCTTCTTCCCGTGGACTAAAACTCATGAAAGTTTCATTTCAAGAAAAAAAACTGTTATGACCATAAACATATGTTGTTTTTTTTTTAATTTATCCCCATGAAACCTAAAATATCCTCTAGATCTGTATCCCCTTGGATCCCTTAAAATACTGGGGCGGAGATTCCCTGAATCAAGCATATCACTGATGAATTTGAAGTATTTCTACATTGCTGAAATCATGAATACCAAAAACACTTCTTTGAAGGCCCTTGTTGAAATAAAATAAAAATACTTGGCAGGGCATCTCCAAGCCCCCACTTTTCCCGGATAGGTCTTGAGTGCGCATATTCATTTCTATATTGCCGCAAAAGTATCACTGCATAAAATTCAATAACAAACCCCACTCCTATTTAGATCCCTCCTTTAAACAAACTTAAATGGTCTCCACAGAAAACGTTCCTTAAATTTCAAAGTTGGTTTTGCCCCCAAGGGTACCTGGGGTATAGAAATTGGTACTCGGTTTCTCCGTCCTGCGAGGTAAAACTCCTCTTACAGGAGCGTCCGTTTTGTTGTGCGGGATGTATAAATCCACAACTTACGGGTGGGAACGCAAAGCGTAAGTCCCGTGTTGGGAGAATGCCACACTCACTGCACGTAAAAAAAAACCCTTGTAACAAAACACTTCGTGAATGGTCCATAGGTGACCCATTGCAAAGCTAAATTTTCCGATCCTATCCAATACAAACCTTTGCCCGTGCTAGTCGAAATTATTCGACCATAGACATGATTACTTATTCTCGTTCTGAATAAAGCTGAAATACTGCTCGCTAAACGTTAAGACAAACGTAGAGCACCAATATTAGAACCATTATTCAAAAGCGAACAATCAGTATACAAGACAAAAACAGTACAACGCAAATTCAAACAAAAACAGAAAAGACAAAAGTTCTTACAACACGAACTCCTACATTAAACCGGGAGTGAGACCAGGTGATCTGGAATTGTTAGCATCTCCTGCCCCATATTTGGCACCCGTCATAAAGTCCTTCCTTTCTCGAAGCCAGTAAAAGAACCACAGGTTCGCAAAATTAAACTGGAAGAATGTCAGCAAGTAGTTGTGACACAGAAACTCCATATGGATCCACCAGCATGTGGTGGCGGCCATAAAATTTCTGAAGTGATTACTTTAGTCTAGGTTTATCGTAACCCTGATTGAGTAATTTTCCACTTAATAGTTGTGCCCTGTTCAGATCAATCAATCGTACGTTTCGTACTTCCGGTGTTTGAGAAATGTGTCAGGCAAATTCATATGAGAACAAAGACAAATAAAAACATAGAAATACTGTATCACCGAACTGATACAAAAGTCGACCAAACTTTGCAATGGACTCGAAACATGATACTTTAAGCTGAGCTATCAGCTGGCCCCCTTTTCTAACCCCGTTGTGAAAAAAAAAATGCAAAGGTTCAACTCATATTCGTATTATTAATTTTGCTGGAAACGAATTATTTTACTATTAATAGTACGAATTGTTTTAATTTTTTTTTTGTTATAGTAAGACCCAACCAGTTTTGACCCCTCCAGATCTCCCTTAATGACCATCAGTACATACTCATTGCACAATTTGATACATTGGTTTTATTTCCTGTCGTATGACTGGCAGGAACTTTGTGAAAATATAATAAAAAGCTCTTGCAATAAGAAGTACAATTTTTAAAAAACCACAATAAAATCGAATGAAAAATAGAAGAAATCCAAAACTTGGGAAAATTGAAACTCCCCTTGGACCTTATTTCTCAGAAACGGTAAGACGCACATGAAATCAGTTTCATGCTGCATCAAAATCGGATATAAAATTAAAGAACCTATTCACTCTTTTTTAAACTGAATAAATTACCCTTTTTAGCCCCTTAACCAGAAACGGTAAGAGCTAGAACCAACGATATCTAATTTGAACTGCGTTTTAATATAAATGACGTGTTAAAAATTCAAAAGAATCAGTGAAGAAATACTTGAATTATTGAACAGCAATGAAATGTCTATAGACGACGACCGGTGACGGACGACGGACATAGTGATACCATTAAACGGCCAAAAATGTTTTCGGCCGTTTAAAGCTGGACATTTTCAAAATACTATAATAAAATTTATTGCGTATTTCATTATTTGGAGTCAACCAATTAACAGAATTACAAAGTACACAAAATGAACAAAATAAACTAAAATTGTTAATTGAATTCAATATATATAGGGAAAATGTATAGGCTATGTCAATGGGTTTTTACCCTGGCCAATCTTTACCTCAAAAATGCAATTCCACGGACTGCTTTATACAGTCACTTGTGCACGGCAAAATATCTAATGTATGCTTCAAAATAGAAAATAGCTTAGTCATATTACTGCTGAAAGTCCCTCTATCATTTACTTCTCATCCTTAAATCAATTGTAAATAAGTAATTCAACCCTTTTACATGTAAAAAGATGTAATATTTGACCCTCAACACACTTATCACAGCAATTTCACCTTCACAGTTTTAAATAAATTCTAAGTGTCATATGGTTGTTAATTCTACGTGAAATTAAAGGTCTACCAGAAGGCGTTAACTAATTTATATCAAATTTTGTCATGGGAATTAAAGGTCGTTTGGTTTTCTTAAACAAGAAAATATATACTGAATACAAATATAGGGATTTCTAAATACAACAGATAAATCTGGTTACGATGATGATTTCGATGCCACGGGAAATTTTGTTCCACATACTGCAATTTCTTGAAACTAAGGATTTGGTAATTTTGCGAACTGTTTGCCGGTTTTTTTATGGAATAGTGTTTCATCCTTGTTTGATGAAAAGAATTGTAGTTCATGACTTTTCAACTTTTAATGATTACAACCTTGTCAGTATATTAAAGCATGCTAATCATTTAGAGACTCTGGATTTATTTCGTTGCTCGGAAATTACGGGTGCCTTTGCTCAAGATTTGGACTTCCACAAACTGGAAACTTTGAAAGTTCTAATTGTTGCGCATACAAAACTAAATGATGAAAATTTGTCAGTTCTACTGAAAAGTGCATGTAAACTTAAAAAGTTATATTTAAATGATTGCCCGCATATAACTGATGGGTCTGTAACTGCAATATCAAACCTCTTTGATTTGAAGGAATTAGCAATTGGAACAGTTAATTGGCGAGAAGGAACTATTGGTATAAGTAATAATGGTATGCTTGAGATTGTTTCTCACTGCAAAAATATTACTCATCTAGATGTAGAATCTTTAATTTTAAGCGGGACTGAATTTTGTAACTTGATGAAAACAGGATCAAATCTACAATTTTTAGATGCATCGGGGTCAATCATTTTTGATGAAGATTTATTAATGGTTAAAGAACATTTAAAACATTTGAAAGAGCTTTTGTTGATAGACTGTTCGGTGACAGAAACTGGAAAACAACAAATTTTAAAAGCATATCCTAATCTGACAATATTAATAGAACCTAATTTCTAATATGTGGAGTTAAATACTGTGGACATTTATATTCGAATATACCGAATAAAACATCGCTATCAAAATGGAAGAATAAAATAAGCGTGTTGTTCACGAAAACTTGGCATCAGTGAATTTTGGATTAAAATAACATTCCAATTTTTATGGTGTTTTTTTTTAAATAGGTAAAAGGAATTCAACAACTACAAATCATGTCAGGTTAGTTTAAGGAAATCATTATCGCCCATACAAAAAAAATCAGTCTACTTGTATTTGTACATAAAGCATGCGACTTTAAATTTAGCGCATAAATAGAATGCACTCTACCACTACCATGTCTTTACCACTATTTTCCTGGTATTTAATTCAACAACAAATATTGAAATTTACGAAATATTTTTATAAACTTGAAAGGTTGGAATTAATTTTCAAAATACATTTTTACTTCAACAAAAATAAAGAAATCTTTTTATTTTTCTTCATATTTTTTGTTGTTGTATTTTTTAACTTGTTCTCCTTATTGCAAATAGATTTATTACAAATTTAAAAATCTCCATTAAGTGTTGCTGTTGTCAAGATAAAGAGGCACTAAGAGGCTCATTTTTCTATTATTGCATAATATAGGATTTTTTTTATATTTCAACTGATTTTGATGTTGATTTTTTTAAGTCCTTATTGCAAGACCTTTCAGTGGTATGCCAATGGATTTCATGTGACTCCTACCGTTTACGATATATATGAGGTCTAAGGATCAATTTCCAATTCTTGTATGGTATTGAAATTTGTAAAACCGGTAACAAATTATTTTTACCACACTCATTTT